TCTTTTGGTGTTTGTTTGGTTTTGTCTTACATGAAAATTGTCAATTAGAGAAAAATATTTTTTTTTACAATTAGGGATAATAATAATAATAATAATAATAATAATAATAATAATAAATGAAAAAAAATCGACAGCATAGCCTAGAAAATCAAGAAAATGTCTATATGGCAAGAAACCAAAAAAACAAATTTTATGGAAAAAAAAATTACCATCAAACATGATAAAAGTGGAAAAGTGAAATTCATTTTTCATTTTTTTATAGAAATCATGATCCATCACCTTACAATAGTAATTAACAGAAGACAAGAAATGTGCATTATGGATGTTGGTCAACATCTTCAGTAAATGAACAGTCAATAATTTGATAGCAGACAATGGACGGGGACGAAATGTTGGACAAATCCCCTTCAACAGGCTTACAGACGGGGCTGAAAAAATTAGATTGTTGTGGCAATTAATGATTGGAGGTAATTTCTTTTTTTCAAAGTGTTCAATCTCGAATCGACACGTGTTGGACTTTTTTTTTTTTTTTTTTTTTTTTTTCCATCTGTTCCTGCAGCATGGTTGAGAAATGTTTGATTTAATTCACTATTTTGGTGTTTTTTGTATTTTTATTAGATTTGACTTGAGAAATTTTATAATTTATTATTTTGGTAATTTTTATTTCTATAAATTCAAGTCATCAGTGATAGCAAATTTGTCTACAATATTTTATACTAAAATCACAACTTTTTTTTAAAATTTTTTATTTTCAAAATCATTTTCAACCACATATTTTTATGGGGTTCATGACTTTTCTACAACATATTTTATCAACTTTTTTCAAAATTAATTAAAAATTTTATTTTCAACTAAACCGAATAGGGGTTTATACAGAAGAACATGCACGCGTAGTTGAATAATAAGAATATAAGATGGCAATTAGAAGAAAATAAAAATACAGCACAACCTCAAATGAAAAAACTGAGAGTGTATTTGATTGACATGAAAAATATCACCTAGAAAATAAAATATTTTCCATTTTTTGTGGAAAATAAAAACCACATCTACCCAAGGAAAATGTTTTCCTTAAAAACAAGGAAAATTAGGCATATTTTCAAAAGTTGGAAAATATTTTCCATGGAAAAAAAATAGCAATCCAACACTCTAAGTAGAAATTTGGATGGAAAACTGATATTTTCCACGGAAAATAACGTTTCAATAGTTAACGCCGTTATAACAGAATAAATTAACCTCAAAATCAAAATTCATCACCAAAAAAAAAAAAAGAGAGGAATCTGTGAACGTCATGCCTCCGTCATGATAACGTTATGCTAGCTCTTTATTTGAAAATTCAAATGAATTTTGCCCCCTTCCCATCTTCTCCTTCTACAAGAAACTGAGGATGGGACCCGAATATTGTCAATCCTTTAATTATAATTTAATTTTAATCATAATTAATTAATCAAATAGAGCACAATATTTCAATCAAGCTTCGTCCGTCCACTTCAAAAATACTCGACTGGACCAGAAATTAATGTCCAACTCTGTATCATATCCCTATTCATGAACACAATATTATTCTTCGCATTAATTCCATCACAATTATTTATATTTTCATTTTCTTACAAACTAATTTTTCAATATTGAAATTATGCAGTACGTTCTTGTTTTTTTATAATAGTTTCCCATGATATTTTCAAACTAAGGCCCCGTTTGGAAGGAATTTTGAGAATTGATTTCTTGATCGTTAAAAGAAAAGTAGAGTCCATCTGTGAGAGAAAATGTCAAAAATTATGGTTGGAATAGTAAAATAACGATCAAAAAATTAAATTTTTGGGGTAAAAAACTCTCCCAAACATGCTCTTAGCTCATGTTTGACAACACATTCACAAAATAAAATATTTTGTACATAAATTTCAAATTTTTCTTTAATTTTTTAACTGTATTCTCTTAAAAATCACTATTCAAAATTTTATTTTTGGGGATAAAAATTGTCAAGCGGGAGCATAATATTACTTAAAAACAAATCCTTCTCGATTTCAATAAGAATTGTTATAATATCACACTTAGCAACATATATTGTAATTGACTAATAAAACAAAAACATGAAAATTTTGTCTAATTTTGACATTCTTAGTTCGTCTAATGTGATTCGTTTTATGTAGAGATCATTAAAAATCATAATAATGTAATTTGTCATTTAGCATTTGGACAATAAATGAAGAGTCCACTTCCATTTAAATCGATGCTAATTTGTATTAGTGATAAATAATATTATTTTTTATTTTTTAAAAATGACAAATAGTTAAGAAATGAGATATTTGTAGGGCCTGTAAAAAGGGTAAAAGCGTGCAATAATGAATAATTATCACCGTTTAATTGAAAAAGATTGTTTGGACCCACACGCAAATATGATGGATAATAAACCAGTGAGATGAGACAGCGGTCAATTCATTAACGACACTGCCCTTAGGCACCCCACCTGTAGCCTTATAGGGATCAGGTAGCATTAAAGGCGATGAAGAACAATTTTTAAATTCAGGGATTTTAACATTTGGATTAAATTATTTGTACATTAAAAATGCACATCTTAAAGGATAGTGTGTGAGGCATCAAAATCGATATCACTAATTATTTTGAATTATTTTTCTTGTACAACTCTCATTGACAATGTACTCATATGAGGGGGACTCACGATTTTTTTATTCATCGTGAATCCCCCTCCTATGTATTTAATTGTCAACATCGATTGTACACATAGCACAATTAAATTATTTTAAATGATGTAAAAATTAATCACAAAAATGTGTGACATGTTCTTGATGGATGTAAAAAATTAATGACAGAGAGTTTAACATTTGGATTAAATTAATTGAGATTACTAATTATTTTAAAATACGTAGATAAATCTTGATGGATGTAATATTTTATTTTGCAATTTGTTTTGCAAATAGTATATGACTTATTAGTTTCACGAATAAAAAAACATATAATCTTCTTCAACTACTCTATTTTTACATTTTGAGATCGATTTTACGCTGTCCTTTCCCCTGATTGGCTAATGAGTGACCTCGAATTCTCACTCATTTAGACTCTTCATAATTGTCATTGCCTTCTAACCATACAATCGTTTCAATTCGTCATCATTTCAAACATCATTCTCTTCGATAGTAAAAGAATAGGAGATTGGCAACGAATTTATTTTTTGTTATTTTTAAAGTTTTCATTTTATCTCTCTTTAAATGAAACTATTTAGCACCTGTCAGGAAAGCGATAATTAACGATGAAATTAGAGGAAATCTTTTACTATGAACACAAGTGTTTGAATAAAATTCAAGTCCTCATTTTCCGAAAGACCAGCAAATATTACTCATTCACCAACCATTTCTCTTTCTACTCATAATTTAATCAATTCATAAACAACTGACAAACACTCCCTAAACATTCCCGCTTATTTTCAGCTAGCAGATTATTTGGTTCTCATTATTTTGCTTTCCAAGTCACATGGGTAAACGGCACACGTACAGTGCGATACTAGAATAAAGTTTAAAAAAAGGATCTTCTTGGGACTCGCGCTGACCCGTTGATTGAAACGCGAGCTTCTAACACGGTTTCACTGTCAAAGCCCTTCACTTTAATCAACGGCACTAGAACTACTTGTGTAGGGGGGAGGAAAATTAGGGTCTATTTAATTGTAGTGATGGAATTTGGATGAAAATAAAATAAATATAAAAAAATTGAATTGTCTAAAACTAGTTTTATTGAAAATTATCAATTAAATGTGTTTCATTGGTATAATTTTTCATCTGAAAAATATTGAAATTTTAGTGTTCCTTTGACTTTAATTTTTATAAATATTATCAATTAAATTGATAGAATTTGTTATATTGTGGATAGAATTTGTTTTAATTGAAAAAAAAAAAACCTAGAAATTGATTTCCCATTTCCACAAATACATGAAAAATGGGTCGCGTGGATGGGGAGGAGGGAAAACCTTTTCTAGGTAAAATTTTTGCAATCAAACATACAAAAATGATAGAAAATTGAATTTCATTTTTCATAAAAAATGGACTTATCAAGTAGGCCCTTAATTTTTTTGCCATTCCTACTCTTTAGCTCGCTTAAATTTATCTCAACCCTTCTATTTCGACCCTGTTGGGTGAATCACTCACGTTTCGCCTACTTCAATCACTATTTTAGCGGAATGAACGGAATTAGTCCATTGGGTACTTAGCCCCCGTTTGGCCCCATTTTTTAAAATGAAAATGGGTGGTATAGTATTTTTTTAAAAATGAGTGGTTGAAAAAGAAGGAAATTTTTTTGATTTATGTGCAATATTATTTTATAGAAAATATTATTGTGTGATTGAAAATATGATAAAAATGAAATGTAATTTAATGAGATTCAAACATAGGCTTAAATACTACAAAGGAAAAAATACGAAATTTAGATGAGCTAAGGCATCAAAACGCTCGTTTTCTCTAAAATTAATGACCCAAATGATAAGTTTTTCTTACTTAAATTAGATATTTATCTCTAAAGCCCTGTTTGAACCACATTAATATAAGAATGAAAATAAAAAATATAATCATTACGATCCTCAGACAAAATATAGAAAGTAAAATATGATGATTTGATGTGATGAATAACGATCATATTTTTTATTTTAATAGGCAACTAATGGGAAACAATCAGGGACCGAGCAATTAACTAAACCATGGTTTAGAAACATCCGCACATTTACCCCGGTGCGTGTCCCGAGGAACGCGGGTTTTTTCCACCCTGCACCGTCTTATTTATTCCCTCCTCGTCCCCGCTTGCTCTTCACTTTCACCTTCCATTTTCCTATCTCTACTCTCCGCTCACTGTCTTTTCTGATAACATTTGTATTATTTAACCATTTTCGTCACATTTTCGCTTGATATAATTAGCTAGTATCGATTGTTTGTTTGTTATTTTCGATTAATTTGATCTAATTTTGATTAGGAATTTGGTTTTACTCCACAAAGGGTCTAAGAATGGCGTCGTCTGATAATCTGCTTACCATTGAACAGCAGACATGGAGGTTTGGTCCCGGAATGGCGGATGGTTTGATAAATGATTTCTTCACCAAAGAAAAAGAGACCCTAACAAAAGCTTTAACGAAATCGTATACAAATTCCTCTCCAACCGACTGCGTATCGACGGAAATGATCGAGTCATTACCGTCTCAAGTGCCGACCCCTTCGGGAGGCTCAGAAAATGAAGTTCCTTTTTCCAAACGCCGGAGCGCTGCTCCAACTGGGAGAATCACCAAACGTAAATCGCGTGCATCGAAGCGCGCTATGACGACATTTATTACGGCGGATCCAGCTAATTTCAGGCATATGGTACAGCAGGTGACCGGCGTAAGATTTGGCAGCGATTTAAACGGACTTGTGCCGTCGAAACCCGACCCGCAGAGGCCAATCCACATGTTTCAAACGGGTTGTACCTTGCCCACCCTTGACGCTTCATCTTATCTGCTGGACCAAGTGGTTCAGCCGCCAGTAATTAATGTTCCTCTGCCTTCCACGGTGGTGGGTGACGGTGGCGCAGCTGGTTTCAGCTTTGACTCTTTTTGTAGTTTTCCCACCCTCGAGTCTTGGCAAGTTTTGTGAGTATTTATTTCGCCTTTTTGTTACTTTTATTTTCGTGGTTTAGGAAAATGTGCGGTAAAATGGGAAGATCTGTTAATATTTTGGGGTTTCATGTCATCCTTTCTATGGATTTTGTAACTCTGTTTTTCAGCATCGTTTCAAGAATAGAAGCTATTTACCACGTCGTGGATTACTTAGCCTTCGTTTAATGGTTGTTATTGTCTAAAAAAAAAAATGATGTTTTTTATGGTGATTTTTTTGAGATTATATAGTAAAAAAAATAATTTAAATTTACATATAAAACATTTTATTATGTGGATATGTAATTGAAAATAAGGTGAAAATTAAAGAGGCTTAATTTTATCAAAATTTTGACAAGTTACTCGTTTTTATATTAGTAGTTAAAAATGTAAATTTGACGTTAATTTTAAAGAAAATTGGCTCATAAGCACAACTTAACCGTGGCTATTTGTTCTGTGTGTGGAAAAAACGGAAGGGAAAAGAAATTGTCGCTCGTATAGTAATGCACTTGGTGAGACATTTTGGTTAAAAACTTTTTTTTTTAAACCAAAATACAGATAAATAAGAGAATGAAAGTAAAAATATAGAGATATGTTCGTCCTTGTTTATACAACCGACTCCCAAAATTGTCATTTGAGGCTAGATGAACACGATAAGAAAAATAAAGAGTCGAATCAAGTTAGAAAGTAAAAAAATAAATAAATTCGGAAGTGAGTATTTCTTTCCCTTTTTCTTACTTTTTGTCTTGTTTTTGTGCCGGTGTAATTATATGTCCTTTCACGTATTAATCGCATCATTCATTGATCGTTAAAGTGTACAGAGTCGATCGTGAAGAATGAAGATTAAACACTAAATTGTTGAGAAAAGTTAATCAAAGATCTAACTGTTCATTCAATTGTAAATTGAGGACCTCCAATGCTATTTGTTTAGAAAATACTGATTTTAAATAATAAAAAATAAAGGATCTTGAACGCCATTCGAAATTTAAAAGAGCTGCATGAGGGTCTTCGAACAGCTGAAAAAAGCTTATTATTATTTTAATGTGACAATTATGTTATGTTAATGCTTGTTGATGGACATCTCTTTTGTATTGTTCTATATTCTAGATGCCACTTATTAGTGAATCCAGTATGGATCAACTTAGTCATCATAATTTAATTAGACAACTTGCTCATTACTTTTTTGACCGTTAGAAGAAAAATGAGGTCACCTGTAAAAAAAAAAAGAAATCAAACTTTATGGCTGGAATAATGAAATAATAAAAAAAAATTAATTTTTTAGAGTGAAAAATTATTTCCAAACACCCCCTAAATGACACATAAAATAGATGTTTTAAAGATGTAATGGTATGTGCTTCCTACGATGATGTATATGAGAATCCAAAATATAGTTTTCTACCTAGCAAGAGAGTTCAAAGTCTTGCACCTCTTGCTCATTTTAAGATTTTTGTGGTAATTGTATTATTAGTAAGAATCTAACAATTTGGTTTATAACATTTTAAAACAAGCAAACTTGTTGTTTTCACATTATAGTTACACTATTAATATTCGATGACACAAAATGTTTAAATATATGTTAGATCATCACATTACTCATATATTTCTAATTTTACGAAGACGTTCCTTTAGAACTGTGTTGCTTCTTAAAAAATGTTCGAAATTTTTTAATTTTTATAGTTGACAAGAGACGGAGTAAAATCGCGATTTGATACCATGTAGATATTCTAAAAACAAGCAAGTTGGCAACTTAGGATGTTTGATTAATTTGTCTCATTGTTAACATTTCAATCTTCACATCATAAAATCATCCACTTTGAAATTTAATATTCAGTCATAATATTTATTGCATTATGTTAGGTAACGGAAGAAGGTTGACTAGAATCTTGCTTCGTGAAGGTTCCCAAAAAAAAAAAATCAATTTTAATAATGACTTTTTAAGTATTATTATTTTTATTTTTTTTAAAAATGTGACAAGGGTAGTTTGATTTTTTATTTATTTATGTTTTTTTTATCAAAAGGACATGAGAATAAGCCCTGTTTGCTGGTCATTTTTTCATGAAAACATTATTTTGAATATTATATTTTTGATAATATATGGTTAAAAAGTAAGAAAAAAATTTTGAACTTTGCATGCAGAATATTTAATTGTGTGTTTGAAAATGAGTATATAGAAAAAAAAGAAAAGAATGAGAAATAAATAAAGGCTAATTTCAGACAAAAACAATGAGGAAGACCTTTCTAGTTGGTGCTAAACAAATTTAAAAACTAAAAATCAAAGGTGAATCGATCAATTTGAACACTTGTTTGGGAGATTTTTTTAAGTGGAAAATAATTTTTTTTTTTAAATATGTAATTGAAAAGAAAAAAATTGTGCATAGTACAAAATATGTGATTAAAGAGATTTTATCAATAAGCATGGCATGATGCACATATCACAAGGATAATAATTAATTAATTTCTTTATTTATAAAGAACGATTTTGTACATATCTCTAGGAAAAAATGGTCATGTCAACTATCTACAGTATATCCTCTACCGAAAAATTCAAATTTTAATAATAATTTAATATATTTAAGAATGGAATCAAAGCAACAGTCAAATAAGTGCTGCTTTAGCTGATTGTACTCTTTGTCTTTTTCTTATCGACGTTACTAACTTTACTGCGTAACGTGCACCTTCTTTGCATATAATACAATTATCATATCGTTAAATCCAACTCTCAGGACGCGTGTCCGCTCAGCAACGCCCACCGTCCAATATTCTTATCAATTTACATTTTTTGGACATTATTTTTTATATTATGACACGTGTTAAAATATGATTGAACAACTTATTTTTGAAAGGACACTTTTTCGACCAACACTTTTTGAATTCCTAAAGGAGCGATGTGAAAAATAAAGTGTGCACCGTCGGATGTATACTTAACATAATTATTTTTCTATCAGTTTAGCATCTGACGGTTGTCGTCTAATGTTAGCTATTATTTCCACGTAATGATGATATCCCGTGTATCGAGCCGCATGGTTGACTTCTACGTCTACAAATATCAATGCAAGTCTCGTGGATCAATACAAAGCTCGCGCCTAGTTGGCATTTTCACGACAGCCTCGTTTGGATACTGTTTACAAATTATTTTTTTATTAACATACATATCTGGTGGTGGCAATGGGCAGTAATCACACGAGCTCGGCTCGCGTAATCACACGAGCTTGGCTCGCGTTCGTGACGAGCCGAGCCCGGGCTGGTCCAAATTTTTATTTTTTCTAAAAAGAATTTTACAAATAAATGAAATAATAGAAAATACTTTAAAAAAAAATAAAATGTGTTCAAAAATATAAATAATTTAACGAAAATAATTTTTTATTTTTATATTTATATGATATTTTAATACTTTTTATAAAATATAAAATATTTATATAATGAAGACGAATTATTTTTTGAAATATATTTGCAAAAAATATTTTTTTATTTCTTTTTTAAAGTGGATAAAATGTAAACCCTCCTCTTTTATCCAGGTTTGGGACCGGCTACATCAATTTTAAATATGCGGAGTTAAAAATTGTACACGAACAACTTGTTGTAACGTATACAATTTTTTTAAAGAAAATTAAATTTAAAGATTAAAAAATAAATAAATTTTGATTAATATAATTAAATCAAATATTACTTACGTAACAACATGCAATTTCAGCGTATATATCTTGTAGTCGAAAATGAGCATCCTGTCAATCTTTCACGCACATTAACGCTTTCAAAACATCTTCTTTCAGTCGGCTCCTGACATCGGTCAAAATCTTTTTACCTGCACTAAAAGCAATTCCGAAGCAACAGTACTAACCGAAAGTGTCAGCGGATCTTTCGCAATTGCAGAAACAATTGGCTAACGTCTTTCATACTTTCGCCAGAATTCAATTATTTCTTTCGAACTTTTTTTAATTGTTCTGTCTGTTGGTATATTATGATTGAAACAATCAATTAATTCGGCAGGCATCGCATTTTGAGTTTCGATCGATGTTTGATGAGATGCAAATGTAGACGTTATGACACTAGATGAACACATTGTAGTTGCATCATATCTAAATGTATTAATGTCTTGAAATAAATTCATTATTTCGACATCACTTTCTTCAATTTCAGCAGAAGGAGTAGGTGCAGAGGGTACCCGACTAACATTCACACCCATTCTTTCCGCATATAAATCATACATTTCATATAATGTTTGCTCTAAATTCTTATAGGTAATAGGTGTATCAAGTATTAAAACTTTATTGATTTGATCAATTATGTATTTAGTTCCCAAAATATTATATCGAGGGTCTATTGTCCATGCTAAAGGAAATAACATAGACAGTTCTTCCCAATATTTTCTAAACTTTAATTCCATAACAATTATAGTTTCACTAAAAGCAGGATCATTTTGATATTTATGAAATGTTCTTGCAATTATATGAAGCGTTCAAGTACCATACAACTTGTGGGATAATAAACGCCGGATAAAATCTTTGTGGTCTCATAAAAAGATTTCAAAAATCGTTTAACTTTCAAAGCTAAAATCCAATCAGATTCATTTAACATACAATCGTCATCACTTCTAACGTGTCTATTTTTATAAAAGTCAGTTATTAAATTTTCGAAACCTTCACATGATTTTAATAGCAAGTAAGTAGAGCTCCATCTATGACCTACGTCGCTAATAAATGTTTTAGCAGTCGTCATCTCTAGTTTGGCATAAAAAAGTTCAAATGCTTGTTTTCTACTAGGAAAGATCGTAATACATACTAATGCATTCCTAATCATTCGAAGTTCATCCTTTATATGTTTTAAACCATCTTGCACAATTAAATTCAAGATATGACACACACAACGAATATGAAACATATACCCACCAAAATTAGGTTGAAGTGTCCTACACAATTTATCGACGACTACCTTATTAACACTAATATTATCAAAAGTAAAAGATCAAATTTTAATCTCGCAATGATAGTCTCTAACAATACT